CCCTTTATCTACCTACCTACCTAACTACTCTCTCTGCCTACCTACCTACTGTATTTCTCTATCTTTTTCTTCTTCTCTGTCCCTCTATCTACCTACCTACCTAACTACTCTCTCTGCCTACCTACCTACTGTATTTCTCTCTCTTTTTCTTCTTCTCTGTCCCTCTATCTACCTACCTACTTTTTTTTAATTTGCCTCTTCAAAACCTTGGTGCATCTTATACTCTGGTGCATTTTATACTCCGAAAAATATGTTATATATGCACACACAAATACATATAGACACATATAGAGGCAGATATAGATGTAGATATAGATATAGATGTAGATGTAGATGTAGATGTAGATGTAGATATACCTCCACCTCAGAGTTTTACATTTCCCCCTCCCCTACTGCTTCTTGATGTTATCTGTCTTTACACATTTATATTCTTAGAGGAAAGAAAACCAAGCAATTGTTAAACAGAACTCCCAGTTTTATAATAGCCCTTCAAAGTCTGGCAAATAACATCCTGAAATACCTTCCAGCCCCTTTAGGGGTTTGGCATGCAAAATAGAAGGGAAAGAGCACAATTTCTAACACATTTTTGAAGAATTAAATTTTTAAAGGAAGGTTTAAAAATTCTCTTTTGTCCGTTAGAGCATGGAAAACATTTTCTCCAATATACAGTCCTTGCACAAAGGAATAAGCCAGAATTCTAAATAATCCTTTAACATTCATAAAAAAGCAATATGGTACTTGAATCCCAGTCTCTATCCACTTAGTTGTTTCAACTAGTATTAATGAGGAGACATTTGGAGACAAACTTCTTGAGTTGTTTCTCTCCTAAAAGATCCCATCTTGCTTAGAAGTGCCAGGCTAAATACCCTGAATTTGCTAGTTTGTTAAGGTTTTTGTCCTACTGAGTGCCTGAACACTAAACTGCTAATATACCAAACTGTTCCTGATAGTGGTAGGAGCAAGTAAAAGAGTGACTATGGTAGATAGTCATGGGTTTTATGTGAATTTTTCCATTTCTTCCCAATCTTCCCATAAACCAGCAAACATCATCTCTTTCTGTTAAAGAAGCAGAAGTCCAGGAAATAATAAACTTCTTAAAACTACTTAAGAGCTGATATAAGATTCTAATGGGAAAATTTGCAGCTCATATTCTTTGGTGCCATATTGTTTCTTATTCTGAGGCTATGCAAGGAAGTTATACTTTAAAAGGGTGTAATTTTATAATATCATTTATTTTAAAAACCATAAACATCTATCAACACAGTAACTGTTACCTTAATGCCCCTTTAATTTATATATTTTCCCCATTGGGAGGAGGTTTTGAAATAATTAAGTGTGAAGCCTCAATTTCCTTTTAAATTACGCACATTTTATAAGCGCTGGATTTGAAATTGGTACTTTACAGGAATTGTGGATTGGTTCCATTAATCTTTGGTTGCTGTTTCATTATGATACAACACATTGAGAATTCGGTATTGCTGTCCTTTTCGGTTGTTCAGTGAGAAAGCCTTCTTTATTGGCTTTAGTGTTTTTATGGTTTTTTTATATAACTTTATTTTTATTAAACAAACAACACACACACACACAAAACAAAAACAAAAAGCACACAAAAAAACCCCATCATCACATACAGCATGTCGTTTGGTTACAAGTGTTGTTGCATCCGGTTCCACCACA